ACAAGGCGAGATGCCAGAGGAGTTCTCAGTGCCAAGAGTGATACGTTAAGTCGGGGATGGTGACGGCACGGATTCGGAATATTTGCCGCCCAAATCACCCAAACCCATCCAAATGTCCGGCAACTTCTGAGCCAAGCCCTCCCGGCATTCACCTGGAGCCTGGAGCCGTATAGGGAACAAACTGTTTGCATCATCATCGACGCATTCGACACACACCAGCATCAGCAGCTTGAGCCGTGCAACTCATTTCGCATAGAACGCAAGGTGTTCGCATGGCATTTCACACGAAGCCAGCGGGCACGAACTCACATGCGACACAATGCACGCGAGCATCATAAGCATCAGCCGCCCGGGGCTTTCGCATGCCGGGCAACGCCCACGAGCATCATGAGCATCAGCAGCCCATTCAACGTAGCGCTCGCGAGCATCATGAGCATCAGCTGCCCGAAACTCTCACATTCAAGGGCGAGGAGGCATCATTAGCATCAGCCAAGCAAGGCTGTTACAGTCAATGCAATGCATGCGAGCATCATCCTCATCAAACTCTCACCGAGGCACGTTCCGCCCGCGAGCACAATCGGCATCAGCTGCGCAAAGCTTTCACATGAAGTCAACGCAGCCGAGCATCATGAACATTAGCCGCCAAAGGCTTCCATATGCAACACCTGCGAGTATCAGCCGGTCCAAGCTCGCAGTCGATGCAAAGCAGGAGCCTATTATCAGCTAGCTCACGCAACGCACGAAGCATCAGCATCAGCCTTAAGAGTCAAGAGCATCATCAGATTGAATTGCATGCCCACTTAAGGCTTTCGCGCTCCTCATCATGGAACGCCCAAGGCTTGCCACATAGAGACACATCAGCACCTCCCCATCGAGCCGGGGTCAAAACAAACCAGAAGCAGCCGGCCGTCGCAATTCATCAGGGGCCAGCAGCCCATGCGTGCGAGTGTGCTCCGAGCCGTAACAGGCCGGTGCCAACGTTTCTTGTGCAGCCCTTCAGAGCCCACGCAGGCTTTCTTCAACTCCGGGGCCAAACGAGCGTCGCGGCGAGCATCATCTTCAGCCTCCCTCCGGCAAACGAAAACAATTTCAAGCATCATCCAGCCGCCCAAGGTTTGGACACCGTCTTTGGAAGAGAGCACAGTGAGCTGACAACATGAACCACTATTAACAGCTACGACCCCATGGTCCTACTCAATAAGCCTCCGACTGCCAATACCACGAGCAAGTATACTTCTGAATCCCGCAGAATCCTTCCACTGAGTGTCCCGGCATAGCTTACGGGTCTCTTTACGACTCGAGGACCCTGCTACCGCCGCTATTCACGAGGGTCCAAGCTGATGAATCCATCAACAGCGCGACACGCCAAACACCAGGACCTACATTCATTACCCTCTCCCCTATGTACCCCTAAAGCTTGAACACCCCTGAACCCTGACCCGACAGTGGAAGCAAGCAGGTTCAAACTGATCTTCGGCAATGCCTCCTTTGGAGAAGTGGAAGCCTGCAGTCTAAGCGCCAGGAAAGTGTCTCATGAAGAGCTGCGACTTGCGTGAGTTTCGAAAAAATCGAGCAGCTTCCAAAGCATGTCCATTCAGCCAGACGTATTGCAAAACAGGTTCGGGAGAGAGGGAGTTTGGGGGCGGGGAGCAGAGGGGCGCTCTATACTCAACGCCGGAGCCCGATTCTATGTGCAATATCTGAAAATCTTGTCTTAGGGCACTGCATATTACGTTCGTGGACGTGAGTCCCAACCCCACTTCCATTCCCACGGCCTTGTGCCCAAGGCCGTCCCTCACTGAAGACCATGTGCTGAAGGAGGGCATGGCCTGAAATGCGGGCTTCTTTTGGGTTTAGGATGGTTTAAATTTACGGTTTAGGGTGTGGGGTTTAGGATTGCTTCGGATTGGGGTTGCGGGCTCTACAAGGCTACTCGCGGAATTAAAAGGAAACGTGAACTGCAAGGCAAATCAACATTGTTGGGGGTTGCCGCAAGCAAGGACTGCATCCGAAACCACCGGGACCATGGGATAGAAAGCGTAGAGAACCGACAAAACCCAGACAGCTCAAGACTTTAACCCGTGACGGCATGCATTTCTCCCCGACCACACCTTACAAAAATCCGATACCAGAACAAGGCAGCCCCTACAGCCCAAGCATCCCATAAAACCGAGGGCACGGCGACCCTTCTGCAGGCCCTTCTTGAGCGTGTCCTTGAGGTCGCTGGAGAATCCCTGCGATTCAGCGCATTGAAGGGTTCGTGGTTTCGGGTATTGGGGTCGCACTATTGAGCAGAAGGCAAGCCGTTTCGAGTCATAGCCTCATACAGACTTGCGCACTACATCAAAGCAAATCTCCCGTAAACCCGAAAGCCAGACCCTTCTCGTTTCCAATCCAATCCCAAAAGGAGCGAACCAGGCTGCAAAAGGTTCGCACCATTCAATCGCGACGCTGAGGTGCCAAAGGTTGCGAAAGCCCAAAAGAATCCATCGCAATCGTGCCGGATAGGCTGAGCGAATGTCTTGCACAGCTCGCCACTCCTGAGACGGACAATTGCCAGGGCTCTCCTCGACTTGACCTTTGTTCGCACTCTTCATACAGTGGCAAAAACGCTGCGGACCTCGATTGTACATGCCATCATAATAATTTCCTACACGTGCTTCTGAGCGAATCGCGCACGCTTTGTTTGGGAGGTCGCGAGCTTCAGGTGCAAACAGCAGCAATGGCCCACGGTTATGAAATCGATATGTGCCACGGCCATCATCTTAATTTTCCTCAAGCTGATCCTGATCGTCGCTATCATCCAAAAGATCGCGATGCAAGCTTCGAATCTCCAGATGTATTCTTCGAGACATGCAGTGTTTTGGAAAAAGGGCTCCCGGGTAAGGCTGAGGGCAGCCTGTTATGCCGACCTGTCACGCTGTCCGAACTTGGAGGCGTTGACAAGTGAGGCAAGCGGCCAGATAGATCACGACCGTGGTCACTGACGCCTTGGAAACAGGGACTAAGCCCTTAAAGTGGTGTTTGGGCCATCAGGTTCAAAGGAGCCTCAGATTTTCAGGGCTTTCCAGTATCAGGCAGAGCACGCAACAACTCATGTACTCACAATACAGTACCATGTCGATAGCTTCAGGCAAACTCTGCCTCCCCTGAACCAAACAGAACGTCGACAACGACCCCAAGCACCGAAGCTAAAGAACCCAACATTCTTGAGCTCAGAAGCACACACACACACACACCGAACAACCCACCCTACCCCCCAAAACCAAAGAGTATCTTATGTCCGTCATTCGCAAGACTTAAAACCGCAGTATTCAGTTTTCACACTTCTATATGAAAAAAACGAGTACCATTATTCTTTTTACTATTCCTATTAGTACTACATTATTACTATGAGTACTTTCATTGCTCTTATGGTCATCATTATTACTATTAGTTGTTAGTACTGTCAATCTGACAGACCGCCTGTCACTCGGGCACCCAGCCAAGACTGCGGCGAGGGCCACAAGGCTCCTGCCTTTGAACATGTCGGCTCCTGGACGTTTTCACGGAAATGTGGGTGGACATGTTATACAGACATTTTCGAAAAAAAACATTTGCATCTACATCGACATGTACGTGTACGTATTACGCATATTGTACACATCCTACATAGTGTACACATCATACATGTTCTACAGATACAATCAATCATATATTACATATGTGTATGAACATACACATAGTATACAAGCTTCGACTTTGGCCAGGAGATCCAGAAGGCTCATCACGGGGGCAGCCGGGGTTGGGGAGGGCGGTTGGGCTTCCAGCTGCTTGTTAGTACTACAGTACTACTGTTTATGCCGCGAACAGAGGGTCTGGGTACTGGAAGTTTAGAACCCAGTCCTGATCACCGGCATGGGCTCCGCGCTTGCGACGCCACGGGCCAGCCGTTGGCTGGAATCATTAGACTTTAAAGCATAAAGTTTCAAGTAAGCAAGTTTTGGTCGAGAAGTTTGGGCTTCACTCTATCAGCTTCCGGAAATGAGGCATGTTATTGACTGGCCATGTACTTTACAGGAGCTGCTCTAAGGCGCATAGTTCCCGTGTGGAGTCTCTCAATCACTGCTCGCGTCATGTGTTCTGCATCGGGGAGAAGTATCATAGGCGAGGCTCCAGCCGCTTTGGCGCTCAGTGAAAAGAGGTTGCTCAAAGTTTGGGCTCGGAGTCGTGCCACGGCTGTTGGTTTTCATGCACGGCATCGTGGCCGAATGGTGTAAACGCTGCGGGGACGGCAACACTATGGCATTTCAGAGACGGGCGACTGACCGAGCTAACAGCTCGGATAAAGCACGATTTTACCACTGTCCGGCCCCAGTAAACTTGATTCACCACGGAGTACAACCCATTCTGCTGACTGCGACCTTCAGCGATCATCTGTCAACAAATACCTTGCGATGCTTGCTATACACTAGATCTGAGTTCGCTGCATGATGTCCCAATTATTGTAAAGATCTTTTGAATCGGGCTGAGATTGGACACTGGGGTCAGGAGGAATCTCTGTGCCTTGTTCCAGGGAATAAATGGAATAAAGGGATGCTCAGACATATGGTAGGGAGTAAGCCGGTGGGTATCAACAAAATGAAGGAGAGTTCGATGAGGCTGCCGATCGGCAATCTTTTTCAGGACGGTCCACAGGACGATGAGGACAATTATGAGGGCAGGGATGAGGAGGTTCCGGAGGAGCCAGAGCTGGCCAAGAAACAGCAAACATGTATTAAAGCTGACCCGTCAAGCACACCGGCATCTGCGAAACGTTTGAAGGAGAAGGCGAAATATTTTCGTGAGACGAAGCAACTGATGGAGTTGAGCTTCCAACCGTGGTGTAAAATCCCTGTTTACAACTTCGAACCTCATATTTACGCGGCAATTCCCCACCCAACCCAGATTTGCAGCCGCAGAAACCCTGAGTGGTAACACGAATCTACATAGCCTCTTATGCTCCGGCCACCTTTTCAAAATCAGCTAGCGCTCGCGTGCGACAGGCCAGATTCCAGCAGACGGCACGACCTCGCACCCAGGGTCAAGAAAATTCGGGTTTGCAGGTCGGCGTCGGCGGGGAAGAAACATCTGAATGTGCCAAGAAAATACCGGGACAACCGACGCTGCTGCGACCGCCATACAGAGTAAGTGTGTGTGGGGAGGGGGGTAAGGCAACCCCAAACCCGAAACCCTATTAACACTAAACAGAGATTGAGTCACGGAGTTTGGAGTACTGTAAACAAGATGCAAGCTGTAGATTTTGCTTTAGAACGCCCAGGTGAGGACCAGGCAGTCTGGAGGCATGTCGACCGTCCGGAAGCTTGGCATTGCACACGAGCTGAGTTCCGGACGGGCGCAGCACGTGAGCTGCAGCAGCTGCTGCCACCTCATAAGGGTGTGTAAGGCTTCGTCGTGGCTTAGGATGCCGGCGATAGACCAGGAGTCTCCAGTGCAAGGGTTCGGGGAGCAGGGACGTGAGTCCGGTGGTCTCAAACCCACGGACGTGCTCACGACATCCCCACGTCCTGCAACCCTTCCACCCACAGGTAATCTCGTGGTAGAAATTTCCGAGAGGGAGACCATGTAGATGTCGCAGCCACTGGCTTGGGCTTGCCGTCGTCCTTCTTCTTGGCGGCCTCCACATCATCTAAACATGTCAAGACTCAAAAGCATCCAGAAGCCACGCCAGAAGGATCTTGATTACGACGACGACGATGTAACCGTGGCTACGACGTTGAAACGATGCTGATAATGATGATGATGACCACCATAACTGGAACAAGGACAGAACCCTAGCGGCTGTGGCTTCACAGCTTCGGGATCCGATTGCATTCCGGAGAGTCAGGAGTGGGATGCAGGCTTTCAAGTTTAGGTTTAGTCTAAGCTTGAGGGTGGGGACGGTGCAGGTCTCGGTCCAGGTTAGGGTGCAGTTCAAGATTCGGGCAAGGTAAAAGGTGTCAAGGAAAGTACCTGGCAGGTAAATCATATCTGCGCGTCTGAATATGAGTAAGGATGCAATTGACAATTGAACTAGCTGCATCCGCATCCGGCTGCAACCCTGGCCGCGGAATTCGCGTAGATGAAAACCTACAGCGAGCAGCATGCTAATGCCGGCTACTTTGGCTGAGTCCTGGACGGGCGCAGCAGCAGAGTCGGGTAAACTCTTGCCACCTCAGGTGCACAGCTGGGCACCATTGCAAAGTTCAGGATTCGAAAGTTCGGGCTGGAATCTCGTCAAGGACTCGCCCCACGTCCCCCATCCGAACAGTCCGCCCTGCAAACCGTCCGAGAACGTGGCAAGCTCTGCGATCCCTGCAAGGGATGGCTTCTGTCTAGATGCAATCCGTCGAAGACATAGAAATTTTATAGGGGTAAGGATATGAGCTGCATCGATGCTGATCGGAGTCTGCAACAGATCATGTCCGGGAGTCGTTTCAGAAGCTGGTGCCCTTCGCTTTATGTTCTTTCAGCCGCTGGGCCGTCACATAGACGGGCACCTCCTGATCAACTTCAGGTGAATGAGTCTCCACTTCCTGGGGTTCTGGTGCCTCTGTGTGGCTCACCTACAGCTTCTGGGAATCATGAGGCACCAGTGCTGCATATGCCTCGCCCCTGCATTACACAGCTTCAGCTGACTTGCATGATCATGCTTCAAAGTGGTTGATAGCAAAGCCCGTGTGCAGTGTCGCCAGGGAAGTGGGTATGACAATAAAAGCACCTGGATACGACTGCAAATGTAGAGAAGCTGAATGCCTGTGCAACATTATGATCCAGCAACTCTCACGAAAGCAAGCCCAGTGCAAGCCTCGCCCTCGTTGGTGGATGCCATTTTCGAGGCCTGCAAAAGCACATGAATTCTCAAGCAGCCCTCCTCCTCCTCCTCCTCCTCCTCCTCCTCCTCCTCCTCCTCCTCCTCCTCCTCCTCCTCCTCCTCCTCCTCCTCCTCCTCCTCCTGCATGTGTATATGGAAAAACATAGTAGATGTGTCTATTTGTATATGTAGGTGTATCATATATATATATATATACACACACACATATTTGTAGGCATAAGCGCACACAGGTATACACGTAAACGTGTAAAAACTTAATGCGTGCATATATGTACCTGTATATATGTATTTAACATGTATGTATGTATGTACCTAATTACTTTAGGTATGTATGTATGTATGTATGTATGTATGTATGTATGTATGTATTGAGGTAGTAGGTAGGTATGTCTCCAGCCAGGCTTCGCCTCTGAGCCCAATTCTTGCTTGGTCTTCGTCATGGTGCTCCCAACTCGTCCCAGTAAGACCTCCGCGCCCACAGGGGTCGAGATGCAGATTGAGGCATCGAAGTTGCGACATGCATGGGCTCGCTGTCTGAAGGGGTCGGGCCCTAACCGCCGTGCAATGCGACCGGGGCGTTGTCTGTGATCCAAGGTGCGCGACATGACCTATGCTCTTGGCTGCCGGTGGCGTCACCTCTGTCTGCTTGGGCCTTCCCTTGCCTGCCTACCGTTCCGGCTGGCATATGCTGGCATGCCCGCTTGCAACACTGTGGGAGTCGTCATGTTCAGGGGAGAGGGCTGAGATTGCTGGACATTTTCGGCTGGATTGGGAAGACCGGACTGGGACAAAGGAGCCTTCAGGAGAAGCCGCAGATCGGATCTGTACACTTGCACAAGCCGCTGCACACTTTGCCAGCAACATTCCACAGTTCAACCCGGAACAAGCGAACCGCATACAGGGTCTGCCTGGCGCTCGGCCTCCTTTGAAGGGAGCTCTTGCAGCTTAGATCAACATGCACTCTAGATTCTATAGATGTGCAAGACGTTTCACTGCATGGCTTGTATGCTGATGGTTTAACTTAGCGCTCGGCACAACCAACAATATTAAATCGCCCCTTGCACTCTGCACTGTGTAACTGTGGCACACAGCTTTTCAGGGCCTCTAAGCCCAAAGAGCAAAGCAACTCCTGGAGACCTATAGCTGAGCAACACACGGTGGACAATAAGTGAGGCCTGGCCTGCAACTGCCGCAGCGTTCGCACTCTGCGGCGGGCCAAGAAACCACGCACCAGCTTGTTTGCCAACCTGAAGTTCATGTCTTCTTTTGTCCGTGCACAACACTCTTGCACTAAACTCTGGTTGCGCATGGCTTTGCCGGATCGCCTCGCCGGATCACATAAGATAAACGAACTCGAGTGCGCGTTAAGCGCGAATGCAAGGCAAGCAGCCTTGCAGCCTGACGTATAGAGTCCACCTTGTTCTGGGCCGCTCTCATCCTTGCATTAGCCTGCAACGAGACACGAAGCCCTTGCCCAAGCCCGCCCAAGCAAGCCCCAAACAGGCGCCTGGATTCGAGTTGCGGCATCGGACTGCCTCCTGTTGACACAAATGGAACTAAACAGTTGCTTCTTCCTGTATCGACACTCATCACACACAGAAAGCTGCCTCAAACTGTTTACTGACCAACAGTTCCACCGCCTGCCGTGTTCACTCTCAAAGACATGTCAAGCATCAACACCCGCGCGGCCTTGCTGACCTCGCCGCCCGCATCTGAGCAACAGGAAAGGCAAACCCAACACCAAGCGACAGCCAACGATCAGCAATCCATGGCTAGAAGCAGTGGCCAAGACGACGAGAGTGATGAAACAAGAATGGTCTTGTCTTGACCGCCATCGGCATCAGAATCAGAATCAACACCTGCAGAGCATCACCATCACTATCACCATGATCACGGTCACAATCCCAGCAATCACCCGGTCCACAGTATCACAATCGTCGTAGAAAGGCGAAGTACGAGCCTTCAACTGCAGGAGCCGTGTGACACAAGAACCTTGAGAAACTCAGCAGATTTCGAAGTCTCATTCGATGATGTAGGGGCCTCAATAATTCGAATAAGGCTCTGGGCCCGCTTATGGTGCAACTATGACAAGGAACCCTAGGGAACAATTTTACAATTTTAGGAAACCCTCAAGGTCGAGGGCGGTGCCGCAGTGAAATGCGCGCAGGCGGCCTGGTCCTGTCATGATAGCAGGCTACCAGTCATGCCACAGTATTATACGTTCCTCCTTTATACTATAACTATGACTACACTCAGGAATCCCAAGATAGTAGGGCGGTGCAATATGTTAGCTTTCGAAAGTGCTACTACAACAAGGCCTTCTGCAGTTTGTCTTTCTTGCGCCGCCCCATGGCTCAGAAAACCCTGAGGCGTGGCTTTTGTTTGCTTTGCTGGCAAGACGTGCAGTTTTTCACCGGTGCCTCTATCTCGCTCGCTCATGCTAGCACTGGCACCTCGATGTCGTGTGAGTTCAGATAGAACAAACCGTGTCACAACTTGAAGGTGTGCCCCTGTCTCTACTTGAGCGAGTTCCGACGACAAATCATGACGATCTCGATTCAGTAACTAATTTCTATTGCACGAGTACGCCGCCCACATTGTTAGATTGCACTGCTGCCGATTCAAAAAGCCGCAAGCTGAGCCAAAAAACAATCCGCCATGGCAACTGACAGCAGTGCTCCCGACATTCTTACGGATCTGCAGAGACATGCCCTCAAGCTTCCATCAGCGTGCAAGGGCCGAGCGTCGGCTTTTGGCTGCTGGGCAACGGCAATGGACGAGTCCGAGCGCAGTCTACGACGAAGCCCGGGAGCCAGGAGTTTTGCAGGAGTATCAATACGATTAAGCAGCTTAGAGCTTTCAAGGACTAGGGATGTGTGGCGCAAGTAGAGACACGAAAGAGGGCTAACGGAGCAAAAGCAACGGATCGGTCCAGGGTACCAGGAAGCTCATGAAAAGCTTATGGGTCCTTGGTTTCAAGGTCCAAGGTTTCGGGCTTCATACTCAAGGCCTGCGGCTTAGTTCCCCTGATTCATGGCATGATCTACTCCCCCCTGCTAAAGATTTCGCTCCCCGCGATGCCCAACGGATCCTTGAAGATCGGACCCGAAAACTGAAGCTAGGGCCGTTAGCATCGTGATTTGTGGTGGAGGTGTGAGGGTGCTGACGTGCTGCCACAATGCGTTGAAGTTTCCGTTGCTCAGAGGACATGGGTAAGACAGGGGTGCAGCGGATGTTGGGTTCCGGATGGGCCTAGACTTCTCTTCTGTCCTGTAATGTTACGCCAGGATGCCACTGCAATGCGAGGGACAAGGCATCGCAGGCGAGACAGGCTCGGTCAGCCAAGGGCTTGGGATTCTGATTTCATGTCGTCTGAGGACCAGGGACCAAATGGATGAGATCTCGTCATATCTCATCTCACCTTTCGACTTGTGGCTTGCCTTCTACGCTTCGCTTGCAAGGTTTTTTTTCCCTAGTCCTGCGACGCATACCGTGTCTGGGCGATCTCAGGTGCGCATCAACACTGGTCTCTAGCAGTGTCGTCGGGTGTCTGCCAGAGATTGTTGGGCTCTCGGCTTGTCTAGGGTGCTCTTGGTCGACTCTTCTGACAAGGAGCCACGCCGAAGCAAAAACCGCAACACCCGCTATGCAGTCTAGGAGCCGTCAACCCGGTGGAAACAACCTCACGTGTGGAAAAGCCTATTGTTGCCACCGCGCCAGCATGTTCTAGCTATTCTAGCCCGATGGGCTCTTTCATCCCTGCTACAAGCATCCCGGTGTGACCGTGCTTGAAGCTTCATGGCAACAGCAGGCTAACTGGCACAACCATGAGAGTTGTGGGATATGGAGTTTGGAGCCACCTTGGAAGCTGAGCGCTTTTGCTTCTGCGCTTTCAAAGTGACCCGATTGCAAAGGACTGTCGGAGCCAGCTTCGAGTGTTCGTAATCCTCTTCATGCAGTACCGAGGACTACGCTGATGGAACAGCGTCTGCGATTGCAGAGCTCCAACCAACAGCATCCGTCTTGGACGCCCTTGCTCACGAAACTGGACGATGCATCAAGGCCCTAAGTGCCAAACCCCAACCGCTAAATGCCCAAAACCCGAAAGCCAGAACCCCAAGCCCGCCCTAAACCCTATTAACACTAAAACAGAGTTTGAGTCGTGTGCTGTAGACAAGATGCAGGCTGTAGGATTTGCTTTAGAACGCGCGGGTGAAGACCAGGCAATCTGATGTCGGCCTTGAGGTTTACACCTGGAGATCTCTGAACGCTTCGCCCTTCTTACATCTACTCGCTGGAACGCCGAAAGAACTACATAACTACAGCAAGGCATTCCTGCATGAGATCAAACGAATACGGACCCCTGCTGAAGGTCTCTATTTCGAGATTGCACGGGATCCCAAATCCTAGCCTAGCCCAGCAGGGGCATCTTTTGGACGTCTATGATATGATATGATAGCTTGGACTTGGACCCTTGTATTTGGTAATGGAAGACTATTCAACGGGGGATCTTTGGGCCGCTTGCAACGGCAAACGCGCCACTCCCCTGGAAAACGGACAGGGCAAGTCAGCATCGCCGGCCTTCGGTCCGCCAACTTCCTCAGGCCAGCGCATCTATGCACAACCCAAACGCCGCATGCAAGAAAAGAGAGACCCTGTATAGATAGGCAGATAGGTAGAAAGATCGAAAGATAGATGGACAGACAGAAAAAAGATCGGAATATCGATTGATAAATAGACAGACCTGCGTTTGAGGCTACTGGCGATACTTGTGTAACATTTCGTCGTAGGCTAAATGCTATCCGGATCATCCGCAACGATGCCGGAGCCGTTTCAGACCTGCAAGACACGCCCGGGTTCAGAAGCTTGAAACTCCATGCAACCAGACAAGAGCATGCCGGACAGCATGTTATGCTTCATGAACCACCACCATGACACTGCACACGTCGGATTCAGATCTGCCCACGCTTGGCATTGCACCCGAGCTGAGTTCCGGACGGGCGCAGCATGTGAGCTGCAAGAGCTGGCTCCACCTCATGTCATAAGGGTGCATAAAGCTTCGTCGCAGTTTAGGTCTCCAGTGCAAGGGTTCGCGGCGCACGGATGTGAGTCCGGTGGTCTCAAACCCGCGGACGTGCTCACGGCATCATCATCCCCACGTCCTGCAACCCTTCCACCCACAGGTAATCTCGTAGTAGAAAATTCTGAGAGGGAGACCAGCTCTGCTCTTGTGTGGGAACAGCAGCACAAGCCTGGGCACATGCAGTCTTGTTTGAAACCTTGCTGTTGCCGAAGAAACAATCCTCACCTACTGCCGCTGCTTTTGATGCATATCCAACATAGTTGTCGATGGGATGCTGTAGATGTGACAAGATGCCACCCCCAGGCAAACAGCCTACCGGTGTTCCCGGTGCCGTGGATGTATCTTGTGACTTTCTTTCTCAACTGGCAGGACTTCCGCGAGTGACAATGTTAGTACCCATAAAACATCCCCGGAGTTTGTTGCCTTTTGTTGCTAGGATCAGCTCCATGCATCGCCGAAGGGGTGTTCGGATGCTTCCATGTAGGATGTGAACTTTATCGCATTCGTGTGCCTCAAACAGAGCATTGAACCCCGTATGTGCATGCAGCGGAAAACACCAACAGATGTGTGGGGGCTTACTTCCGGAACCACTCCTTTCCTCGGGAGGTAGAGGGAGAGCCAGTCTGCAAGCCCTGATCAAACAGAAGCCAAGCTTAGGTTGGCGCTGGTTTGGCAGATCGTCGAGCATCACCCGCCGGAGCTGCCTCCCGAGACGCCGTCGGAAGCCGTGCTTGCAGAGAGGTCTTGCGGGCTCCCAGGGTTCTTTGCTTCTGATGTCTGTCGTTTGGGGCCTGGAAGTGTCTTCTGTTGTCCTTGTTCTTGACGTCCTCCATACCATCTAAACGTGTCAAGAGTCGAAAGCATCCAGAAGCCACTCCAGAAAGATCTTGATTACGACGACGACGATGTAACCCGTGGCTACAACGTCGAAACGATGCTGATGAGGATGACCATAACTGGAAGAAGGACAGAACCCTAGCGGCTGTGGCTTCGCAGCTTCGGGATCCGATTGCATTTCGGGAACTGCTCGAGCGACTCTCTGGAAGCGTTGACTTCGTCTTTGCTAAAGAACAACCCCACACACATTAGAGACACAAGCCCACAAGAACCCCAGAACAACGTCGTGGAACCGTGTTAGAACCTTATGAAATTAAGCTGGAGCTGACGTGCGCTGTTGAGGCAGGTTTTGCAGACGAGACATCTTGCATTTCTACTCGTGTTGGACCGAGCACTGCATCTTTCCGAAGCACTGCAACCCTGCACTCCACAATACTGCAAAGGACCCAACTACTCGAACCTCGTGGCCAAGCCCCGATGCCTACACCTCTGAACCCAAGTGCACTCGTCTCAGTCCATGGCCTTGCCCAGCAACGCCGGCAAGGCCTGACCGTGGTCGGGTGTGTCAGCAGTGTCCTCGAAGAGGCAAAGGAGAGGCAACCCAGGACATAACAAACTTCGGCCCCAAACTTCAGCCCGGTCCCGAGATGCATTGAAGGCCGAGGCAAACGGCGAGGCCTCCAAGCCCTCAGACTCCTCAGGGGCCAAAGAAGACGCAAAGATCTGGGGGACTTCAGGGGAGCGATGCATGGATCTGTTGCCTCCGGTTCTGGAGTCATCAATCGAGATGCCATGGAGTCCCCAAGAGCATCTCCCACCAATGGCTCCACCAGTGCTGCAGACGCCTCATCCTTGCACTGCAACTTGGCAACTTGGCGGGATGCTCCATCAGCTTTTGTTATGTGATTCAACATGGCGTGACAGCACCGATCGACAGCGCAGTGAACATGACAAATAGCTTGATTCTAGACGCAGGCATGACCAATGGCCTGACAGCACGGGAAATCTCCGTGGGCCTGGTCTTCGATCGGCTCGCCCGGCTCCTCCTGGGAGACGGACTCCTCACAGCTGCGTCTGCTCGCATGACCGCATGAAGTGTACCCACTTCTGTTGCATCGCCTCCAGAAGCGAGCTCGCGAAGTGATCATTTTCTGCAGAGTCTGGATCCTGCAACGCCAGATCCTCGAGAAGTCAAGACACAAGGTCTACAGAACAGAGAATGGCCCTGTAACATGAGTGCAAGCCTGCAACAAGTTGCTGGCATCCATCGAATCGTGTGATGCCTGTAAGGACACATGTGTGCAGAAGTTGCGAAGTTGCTCTGGCGCTGCAACTGGCCCAATCGCCTCCAGTAGCGAGCTTGCGAAGTGGGGATGCCTGGACTGCTCGAAAGCTCAACAATAAGGCTTTTTCGTACTATTCGGGGGGTCA